CAAGGCGATCCTCGCCTTTGCCAAACTCCCAGTTACCTTGGACAACGACCATAACATCATCGACTCGCTTCCCAGAACTGGAAAGCATAGTCACTAATTGATGGTCGGTGTCCTTGGCCCTAAGGAAATAACGTCCATGCCGACCAGAAGACTTGGCCAAGGCATAACAATGCCGAATAGCAGGTATGCCGAGGTTAATCCTAAGGCGACAGTTTAGCTCTATAATCCCCATTACGATTCTAAAAAAGTTGACATTGGGTTGGGAGGAGATTAGACCCCAATGGCGAAGGATAGCCCTAAGAAATGGGTGAAGCGGGAAACAGATTCCGCCTTCAGCAATTGACAAGAGGGGGAAAACGATTGTGCTTTCATCAACTCTCTCCATATTGAGGATGCCGTTTGTCACAAGCGACAGACGGACATCATCAGGGATAGAAAAATGGCGTCGAAAGCCAGAGATTCAATCCGCGGAGAGGAGGTCTTTTAGATGTTTTTCCATTTCGGTCAGCCTATAGGAGCGTACTAAACTAAAGGCAAACCAGGAAAAAAGATTCGAAGCAGAGAGGAAGAAAACTTACAAGAGACGGAGAGGACAGTGAAAGATGAATGGAAATTGCAGAGACGAGTCGGAAGGCAATCCAAAAATTAGCATCCAAAAATGTGTGTTTGAAAAGACGACAAGATTTTAAATCACAATAAATAGAAGTGTACGAAGGGGTGGGAAGTTGAAATGATAACCGAGAGGCGTGTGCTCTGACATCTGTGTTGGGATGAGGTTAGCCGCCGAATTTCGGCTCTGACTTTTCGAGTTCAAAACCAAACACTCCAGCTAACTGTCGTTAGTGGAGTGCTTGGGCGGCAATTATGGGGGCCGAATAATGAGAGACGTAAATAGGCCGAATAATTGGACTAGGAGAGTCGAAATATATACATCGCATTCGGCCCTATTTGGCCAAATAGCCGGTTGATTAAGGGGCCAAGTGGAAAGCGGTTTGCGGCCAAAGGAGCTGAATAAATAGTTATACGGCGAATTGAAAGTGGGCCTAACCCTGAGGCCCAGGAAAGAAAAGATATAAATAGAAGAACGTCAGCCAGAAAGAGGTATGTGAGAATTAGTACGCTTGACTTAAGATACAAGTAACTAAGAGAGTATACACTGACTTAACCGTCGGAGTGCTAATTCCGGCACCCCCGACCGGAGTGCTTGTTTCTTTTCAGGTCATCAGCTGAGAATCTCGAGTGTCCCAATGGATTAAAGAGTATTTCCAAACCACTTCCCCATAATGTCAATTCATGAAAATAATCCTTTTATTACAGAAAATGGGGCAGCAGATACAAAACATTGGAAATCTCTAGGTACGTGTCTGTCAGTAGGCTATATAAGCATTGCCAAAGTCATTTATCAGTACTAACCAGAAGGGTCGACACCTAACCGCACGGGTTTCTGAACTTTCACCAAGGATACACAAACCAACATCATAAACACAACCACAGATCCTATAACCAAATTCACTAAGGTATTCGCCCATTTTTCTCAAAAATCAATACATTTATAATGGTCAATATGTAATGATGCTCAATGCACAATGGATAAGAAATTAGTTTTAATTCAACATAATCTTCATACAATGTCTACAACAATCAAGACTATCATCCACCAAAAGCCCAAAACAGATATTTCTAAATAATGTATAATTTTCAATTAAAAGATGCATTTTCATCAATAACAATGAGAGTGATATTACATATCCAACTCCACCATCATCATCAGCATAATCATTATTCCAATTTCACAATATCCAACATCATTTTTCCTTTTTCCCTTTCACAATTCCAAGTATCCAAAATTTCGGCAAAAACACATTTTTCTTTCAAAATCAATTTTAAGAAAAGATTTCCACCATTACCACACAAATCACCCATAACCATACTTTCACAACTATTTTCAAGAATCAATTTGGAAAGCCCCTTTTTTTATTTTAAACCAAACCCTAGGTTTTACCAAAATTTTCCAAACGAATAACCCTTTTCAAAAGGCAAATAATTAAGCTAAAAATCATAAAAAGAGTCAAAGAAATCCCTATCTCAAAGAAAAAGACACGATGGAAAGATGGGTAGAACTTGACGGTGTCAAAAACACTAGATGCGCGATTAAAATGAAGCCCTCGACGTGCTCAACGTTTTTCTCCAAAAGACTCGGGTGAGAAATCTCCCGGATTGAGAGTATTTGGGGTTAAAGATCAAGAACTAGAGAGAGAGAGAGAGAGAGAAGATCTGGGGTTTTAAAATGTTTAGAGAGAGAAAGAGATGAAAAAGTTATTAAAAAAGGCTATCTCTCATATTGATATATTCGCAAATCGCTCGAGCGCAGCAATGGTCGCTCGAGCGACAGATACAATAAGTGAAACCGCGTGAGCGACCAAAACCACCGCTCAAGTGCACAATGACCCTCTCCTAATAGTTCAAACTTGTAAAAGTTCGCTCAAGTGCAAGAAGTGTCGTTCGAGCGCAGATATCAAACTCTCAGTAGTTTTGCAGACTGTAAAAGACCGCTTGAGTGTAAAAAGCATTGCTCGATCGAACAGGCAAAAATCTAGGCAAAACTTATTGAAAAACTGACTTCCCAACATGTTTCAAATACAACCTAAACTCCTAATAGCCAAACCCAATAAACAACGAGGAAAACAACAACAAGATGGAAATGCGCTTAACCACAATTAAATACACTGTTTCTCGGATCCAAAAACATTAAAAGTGACGAGTTAGAACCAAAATCATTACATGTATCATTTAATCACAATAATAAACAATATATTTGAAAAATAGCCCAAAAACTATAGGTGTTTGTTTGAAATGTTTACAATAATAAAAACACACAAATATTTAGAGACGAAATAACTATTAAGATTTGTGTAAAAAGTGTTTTTGGACGCAAAAAAAAAAAATCAATCAATAAAAAAATAAGACACTCAGTTTATAAATCCAATTTTAGATTTCTTCAATATAAATCCAATTTTAGATTCCAACCATTAAATTACATTGCCCATAAGGACACATTTTTACGAAAGGACCAAACTACCCCTATAATTAGATCATGTGCATTTCTTCCTCTTCAAACCCCCTCACAATCCTCCTGGATTTGATTATCTCTCTCTTTCAACCCACTCTCTACCCCTTAGGGTTAGGGTTTTCAACTACCGACAATTCTCTCTCTCTCTCTCTCTAGAGAAGCAGTGTCATTGTCGCCTTTCTCTCTCTATCAATTGCCAGATCTATGTTTGATTGCCTCTCTAAACCGATGGATCTACAGTTTCAGTGCTCAACTATGAAGTCAAATTTCAGTATTTTCCATCAATAAAGCCCATTCTCATCACTACCACCACCTTTTTGCTTTCTCCAACCTCCTCACTACCACTTCTGTCGCCGCTGGTCTAGTTCGTGAAAAGGAAGAAAAAGGGGCGACCGATGGTCCAAATCTCGTGCGCTACTCTAGCAAGGCGGAGGAGGAGAAGGTTCCTCTCTCTCTCTCTCTCTCTGATCAGGGCACCGATGACATCGCGATAGTAGGCAGAGGTAATGGCATGGAATCGTAACCTATCAATGTTCTCCATACGATTCTGACGTTGATATTAGATGTATTGTTAGAGGCTAACATTTTAGAAGTAAACATCAGTTGATGATCCTCAATGAAAAAGAGAAACATGACGATGGTAAGAGGGTTTTCTGCGATGTGTGTTTGCAATCGATCACCGGTTATGCATTTGTATCCCGCTGCTGATCTCTTTGGCAGTCTCTTTCTTTTTGTATGTCTTACAACAGATAGGTTCTTGTCAAACCTAGATTTGATCTTTGGAGATCGTCTTCTAACGAAATTGAGTGGAGACAATTGTATTTTTTTGGTTATGATTTGATTTTCTTCTCAATTTCATTGAATTTGTTTTCTTTAGCCATAATTTGGATCCAATCAGTTCACTCTACAAGAATTTACTCTTACAACTAGTATTATCTGGGCAAATTATCCATTTTTCTTTCCTTAACTGTAGTGATTTGAAGTTTCAGTAGTGTGAAGATGAACTTAAAGATTGCTATAGATTGGTAACAGATCATTGTTTGTTTCAACAAATAGATAAATGACCTCTCTCTCTCTCTCTCTCTCTCTCTCTGTGTGTGTGTGTGTGTGTGTGTGTGTGTGTGTATATGAGAATTTGAAAATTTAAACAAATAAAGACCCAAAAAATGAAATAAATTTTTGAACAGAGAAAAAATTAAACAGATAGAAAATTTTGAACCAATAAAAAATTGAACAGATAACAAAATTTGGATAGATATTTGAACAGATAAAGGAAAAAGTTGAACGGATAGAAAATAATTTGAACAGATAGGAAAAAAAATTGAACAGATAGAAAAAAAATTGAATAGATAGGAAATTTTTTTGAACAGATATAGTCCACAAATAAATTAAGAGGTATAATTGGAAACAAAAATATCCTTCAAACAAACAAAATGATTTCTCACTAAATTATTTCACAAATGATAGACCTCACACCAACAAAAAATATTTACTAGTTCTAATACCTTATACCTTCCTTAACTTAGGCTTCTCAACAATTTACTCTAAAACTATTTTCAAATTAATAAAAACTATATTATATATATTTAATATCTTTATTTATTTCTTGAATCATATAAACACTTGTTGACCATGTTTTTAATAAAATATTAAACAACGCGTACCTTTCTATTTTCACGCTCACTTCTCACGTGCCTAACCCAAATATTCTCTCTCCTCTCTCTTCACACTGCCAAATCCGAACTTTGTTGGATTCTGCCTTGCAGTGTATGCATAATATAATATATATATATATATATATATATCTATATACACACTCCATGTGTATCAATTTGATGTCACCCAAACCTGGAAATTTCATTCATCACCAGTAAACTTTCGAATCCATTTTCTCTCTCCTTATTCCACCTATAAAAAAGACCCTACACCCACAAACATTTCACACCTTTCTCACCCATTCCACATTTCAAACTCTCTCTCTCTCTCTCTCTCTCTCTCTCTCTCTCACTCAGTAGTTTACTTTTCACATATAATTCTCTCTTAAATCTTGATTGGTGATATGGGTATTGAAGGTGAGAAGAGATATGGTCTGTTACTGGCATGCAAGGACTCAGAGTATGTGAAGGAAGTGCATGGTGGGTACTTCAATGTGTTTGTGGCAGCCTTTGGTGAAGAAGGAGAGAGATGGGACTTGTTTAGGGTTGTTGAAGGAGAGTTCCCAGACATGAATCAGCTTCATAACTATGATGGATTTGTGGTTAGTGGTAGCCCTTATGATGCTTATGGGAATGACTTTTGGATTCTCAGGCTTTGCTATCTCTTGCAGACCTTAGATTCCATGAGAAAGAAAGTCCTTGGCATTTGCTTTGGCCACCAGGTAATTCATTGTTCCAATAACAAATTTCAATAATACTATATTTTACAAAAATACCTAAATTTTGAAATAATTGAATGAGATTCAAATTTAATGATTTTTTTTTTTTAATTTTATTTTGTGTGTGTGTGTGTGTGTTTGTTAAAATATGTAGTTTCTTGTAGTATAACATGAATAATTTAGAATGATTTAATTTAATCTTCATGTTATTTTGTAGGTATTGTGTAGAGCATTGGGTGGAAAAGTAGGGAAGGCATACACTGGCTGGGACATTGGACTAAGAAAAGTGAGAATTGTGAAAGATTTCTCACCATGTGCCTTTCTTGATAGCTTGGATGAGATCCCACCTGCTCTTTCAATAATTGAATGCCACCAAGATGAGGTTTCTCTCTCTCTCTCTCTCTCTCTCTCTCTCTCTCAAGAATTCAGTTGTAATCATCAACACTTGGGGGCTAATTTTAACTATGAAACAGGTTTGGGAGGTCCCTGTAGGAGCTGAAGTGATAGCATTTTCAGACAAAACAGGAGTAGAGATGTTCAGCATTGGAGATCACATTCTTGGAATTCAAGGTCATCCTGAGTACACCAAAGACATTCTTAACAATCTCATTGATCGTCTTCTCACTAATGACTCTATAGAGGTATTTACTATATGTTCTTCTATGTGGCTCTCAAATAACTCTATTTCCATTCATTTTAATATTAAAATTTTAAATTCTTTTGATATCGAATTTTAGTTATTTTTACAGAAAGGATTTGCCGAAGATGTGAAGTCAAAATTGCAGATAGCTGAACCAGACAGAAAATGTTGGCTAAGGATTTGCAAAATGTTTCTCAATGGGAGATAGAACAAAATTGCATTACATTTAAATAAATAAATCAATCCAAACTAACTTTATGTCCCAATCACGAGAGGTTGACGAGATGATATGTATGACTATGATTATCTTCTATAGTCACTTTTATTGTCGGTTTTGTGTAACTAGACTTTTTGCATTTGGGCATGGGGACTGCTATAGATACCCTTATTGTTAAGCACACATTTGTTGAATGTATCTGAAGAAATTATTCTTCCTAAAGTTGTATTTCATATAAACATTGAAAACATGAGCACAAGAATGTTGTTCTCTATGGTTCTCAACCTTTGTTTATGGGTAAATTATAAATGCACCTCATAAGTTTATTTAAAATATAAATTGTCTGCAATAATTTTAAAAATTATACTTGTCTCTTAAAATTTTTAATTTCATAACAAATGATCTATTTTATTAATAAATTATTAAGTCAATTTAACAGTTTTTAATGATATCAGAATTATATTTCAATTAATAGTTCAAGTAATTTTATTATTGTATATGAGAATAGTTATGAATTTTATTTTTTTCAGTTAATTCTGTTAAATAAAATTTTTTGACAAATGAATACTTATAATTTTTGAAAGTATACAGACAAAGTAAATCTCAGAAAATATATTTATAATTTACCCTTTGTTTATTTGTGCTTAAAGTCATGCTATTCTCAAACTTTAATGTCAAAGAAAAACATTCTTTTCTTTGGTTGATTGTTCTTTCTTATTTATCTATGCAGATTCTCCTCGTGTGAAAAAGAAAACAAAAGCTAATCAAATTGGAGGAACACAATTATCCCACAATTTTATTCAATGCTAAACAAGAATAATTGTATAAATTGTGATCCAAAGAATTCAATGATAAGTATTAGTCCCAAAGAACAATGCAAATTAGGGCTTACTATTTTAATTATTTCCCAAAAAAACATCTAATAAATAAATTAATCTCAGATTAAAAATGTTGCCGCAAAAGGAATTCAAGTGGGCGAGTTCGATGCCAAATATCTGTGAAGGAAATGGAATGAAAGGAATTCTAGGCTCAAATTACTCTTCTAAGAATCAACTTTGCTGGCATGTAAGCAATTTCAAAAGAAAATATTAGTTTGCCACGAGGTTTGGATTCCAAAAATTCAAGTGAATCAATCTAGAAGATGATGTGTGGGGATATATTTTCTGAGTACCAACACGTGGCAAGGTGACGCCGACGTGTCAGCCGAGGTGCCACGTGTCTTGGTCGTTGTTTTTTTTTTGATCGGCTAAACAAAATCTATATTGATGAAACAAACAAAGTATGAAATATTACATCAATATAGAGGAGCTTAGAGCTAAGAAGAAAGCTCCAAGCGCCCAGTTGGTGAGGCACCAACAAAAGAAAGCAAAAAGAAAGAAAGAAAGCAACAAAACAAAGAAACTGGAAGCAGACAGACTAAAAGAACAGCCACATTGCAGAAAAATTAAACCTCCACCATTGCAACAGATCAGAAGCCTTCCCAATCCTCCAAAAAAAGAACAGCAATACTGCCGAGGCACCTACAGACCAAAACAAAACAGCAGACAGGGCTTATTCTTTGGCCCAAAAGAACTGAAAGTAGGACCAGCACCCAGCATCACAATACAGATAGATCAGACCAGCAAAACAGGCTTGTGTTTTGACCAAAATGAAGCTGCCAGAACACAGATATATCAGACCAGCTCCCACCACAGGTCTGCCAGTGGATTAATCAGACCATATTCAGTTTAACAGCACCACAGAATTTTCGCTTCCACCCCGAGAGTTTGGATCTGAAGTTGTCAAGCACAGGTTTCCATGTAAATTTTCTCCCGGGGTTGGCTCCAAGAGGTAGACCTAGAAATTTCAGAGGTAGGCTGTGGACTTGACAGTTGAGGAGCTTTGCAAAGGAGAGCAAGAGTGAATCATCCACACCAACACCACATACCACACTTTTGTGATAATTTATTCGTAGACCAGATAAAACTTCGAAGCATCTTAGAACTCTTTTAATAAGCACCATCTGATCCCAATCTGCTTCAGAGAAAATAATTGTGTCATCCGCAAATTGCAGATGAGACAAAAGAACATCCTTTGACCCAACAAGGACTCCTCTAAGTATTCCAAGATTAATTGCTCTGTTCAAAAGCATGTTAAGACCTTCAGATACAATATTGAACAGAAAAGGTGAGAGCGGGTCGCCCTGCCTAAGACCTCTTTGTGGTGAGAATTCAGTAGTGGGTGAGCCGTTCACAAGAATGGAGATCCTGACTGAGGTAATACAGGTTTTTATCCAGGAAATCCATTTGTTCCCAAATCCAAAATTGGACAGAAGGGAAAATAAAAATTCCCAATTCACAGAATCGAAAGCTTTTTCGAAATCTAGCTTTAAAATTATACCGAGCTTCTTGGACTTTTTCCATCCATCCACCACTTCATTGGCAATGAAAACCCCATCTAGGATATTCCTCCCGCCTATAAATGCAGTTTGTGTTTCACCAATGATGGAGGAAAGAATTGGCTTCAATCTATGTGTTAGGACTTTAGCTAGAATTTTGTAAAGGGAACTTACCAGGCTGATGGGTCTGAATTCAGACAGGCCAGTGGGATTGTCCACTTTGGGTATCAGACTAATAAAAGTGCTGTTGATGCCATAGGTCAGTTTGCTATTTGAATGGAAGTCCGCAAAAAATTGCATAATCTCGGGCTTCATGACCTTCCAAAATTTCTGATAGCACAACAAGTTAAAACCATCAGGACCTGGCGCTTTATTGCTATTGCAGTCCTTGATTGCAGCCAAAACCTCAGCTTCACTGAATTCTGAGATCAGGTGTTGAGATACATAATCTAACCCAATGGTCTTGTAAACCCCTTCCAAGACAGGTCTTGTAACCCAATCCTCCGCAAACTGTTTCTTGAAGTGTTGATGGACCTCAAACTTAACCCTGTGAGGATCCTCATAAGATACCCCATTAACTTCAATAGAGTTAATCATGTTTCTGCACTGTCTGGCATTGGCAAAAACATGGAAAAACCTAGTATTCTTGTCCCCATTGAGAGTCCAGTTCAATCTGGATTTTTGGTGCCAAATCCACTCCACCATCCTATGAAGCTTCCACATCTTACCTCTGACCACTCTTCTTCTTGCCAATTCAGTTTGAGTCAGAGGTCTTTCTTCTGCCAAAATATCAATTGCATGAAGTTCCTCTTCGAAAACTTTAAGCTCAGATGAGACATTACCAAATACCTCAACATTCCATTTCTTCAGTGCTAGTTTCAGATGCTTTAACTTTTGAACAATTATGTAGCCAGCCCATCCAGTGACCAAAGAGCTGCTCCAAGTAGCAACAAAAAGTTTAGAGAAGCTTGGATGAAGAGTCCAGGCATTTAGAAACCTGAAGGGTCTAGGTCCCCAAACTCTTTCATCTTCCATCATCAATAGTGGACAGTGGTCTGAAATTAATCTAGGCAGTCCCCATAGCTTCATTCTGAAATTAATCAGCCACTCAGGTCCAAGCAACATTCTATCAATACGGCTCCATTTCTCAGATTCTTGGGCATTACACCAAGTGTATTTTCTTCCATGCAGAGGTAAGTCATTGAGCTCACATTTTCCAATGAACTCATTAAAATGATGCATCCCTCTATCTCTCCTGGAGCAGCCTACCCTTTCTCCTATATGCCTTATTTCATTAAAGTCCCCACCCATGCACCAAGGAGCAGGGAAATGGTCTTTGAGCTTGAGGATGTCAGCCCAAAGAGATGATCTAGCGCAGATATCATTCGGTGCATATATGTTAATTAAGACACACTCAAAAGAATTGTACAGGGAGCCAGAAAGCAAGATGTACCTCCTATTACAACAGCAGCCAGAGAGTTGAAAGACAGCAGGGTCCCAGATACAAAGAAGCCCACCAGCAGTGCCTTCAGGATCCACCGACATGTATTTCATATTTCTGCAACCCCAGAGCCTTCTAACAGCATTATCAGAAGTTACTGCTTTCTTGGTCTCTTGGAGGAAAACAATATCAGCATGCTTGTCTTTTATAAGACTTTTAATTCTGCCTTTCTTCTCCGGTTTGCCCAGACCCCTAATATTCCAAGATAGAAGCTTCATAATTAAACATATTAGTACACTCAAATCACCCATCTGCAGTGACTTATTTCTGAGTCTTCCCCTCCTTGGTGATTCTGGCTTTATCCTTCATCTCAAGTTCGATTATCTTGTTTAAAACCACATCCTCCTCACCGTTAAAATTAACACCCAGTGATTTCCCCAATTGTATTGTAGCTTCGGCTTCATCCAGAAGATAATTGTTAGAAGATGATCCACTTTCAGATAAATCAGACTGAGCAAAGGTAGAAGCTGCCGGTCTAAAGATAACAGACTTGGAAGATTTCTTGAGAGCTGCTGCGGTTCTGAATCCATGGAATCTAGCAAAGCTGTTAAATCCCTCTATGTGAGCCTTTGCCTTCCCTTTTTTCCTCTCAGTTTGCAGTGGTTCTGTATAAGGAGTAATAGATTTACCTTGGCCTTTTGGATTAAGACTTAACAAGCTTACTCCATTTGGCCCCAACTTTTTTGATCGCCCAGCAGATTGCAAAAGGGCCATATCAGTGGATAGGGGCTGGTTTGGTACATGGCCCAAATTAACCTCCAAATTGATACCAGGCCCAATGCCAGGCCCAAGTTCTCCAAAGGGTTCATTGGCTAAAATGACATCCAGCTTAATACCCGGCCCACATCCGTCTATAGGTTTGCCTGAAGGAGCTTGCTGGACACGCTTCAACCTGCCATCATTATTTTTTGAATTTTGGTCTGCTCCTTCCATCAAAGTCCCTTCAACGCTTGCTCCCTCTGACCTGATGGAGCCTCCAGGACAGAGAGTCTCTTCAACCACAGTGCCTAATTCCTCCCCTATGAGACTGCAACTAGGCTCTTTCCTTTGTTTAGTCTTGTTAGTGCAAACCAGATCAGTTCCGAGCAAAACACTCAATTGTGTCACCTCATCACCATCGTTTTTGACCCTTGCAGCTGCCTCTGGAGTGTTGCTAACCTCCTCACTGTTGCTGGCTTCTGTGAAGTCGGAGTCTTCCATTCTTGATGTCTTCATCCCATCAGAATCTGCTAGATGGTCTTCGCATACAAGAATGTAATAAGAAAGGCCCTTACACTCCAAGCAAATAGTTTTGTTTATATATTCCATGGATGCAGTAGCTACTCTGATTCTGGCGTGAGAAAAAGATTTAGGATGGCAGATATCACCATCTAGGCTTAGGATGGTGCCCCGAACC